GGGAAAGAGAAAGCAAGCAGTACGAATAAAATTATATCTGCTTTCCCACCATGTCCGGACAATTTAACCTTGAATAATTTTTCTAACAATGAAATCGAAAGCGTCAAAAATGTGATTGACACAGTACGCAAGATTCCATTTTCACAACCTTCTTGTGGTATGTATAATATGTGGTATTATTATAATCTATGATATTTTGATTTTTATTACATATTGTATACATTTCCAGAGAAAAAGAAAATTTCTTGTACAAAACCTGAGGAAATACATCAGATTAATGATATACCCATAATATTTGGAGGTATATATATTGTCATAAGCATCGACATATAGAATGGACTGAGCATCGAATAAGAAGCCGCACGCCAGCTATAGAAAGAGAGGTACTACATAGGAGGCTTTTAACCAGCACCTTATTGATCATCCACACTGGAGGGGGAAAAAATGACCAAAAAAGTGCTAGATAAAAGCCTCTTATAGTACCTCTCTTTCTACAGCTGGCGTCTATCCGCTTATATATCGATGTTCAATCCATTCTATATGTTGATGGTCATAAGTATATAGAGTCAACAAAAATTAGTTATGATATTTATATATATAATATGTCTAATATTTCTTTTTTGTAGATTGTGTTTCATTAGCTGAAGACCATGAAGAGCAAGAACTGCAAGAAATAGTTCATGAAATACCAGACTCCAATATAAAAAGTATGTATTAATACATGCGTATGATGGCTTTTAATTAAATAGTAATATAAAAACATGTATAATAAGAAATAAATTGTACATTGCAGAATACTTCAATCAAGTGATACATACACAGCAAGAAATAATACGTAGACAAGAACAAATAACACGCACACAAGCTACGTCCAATTTAATCTTAAGGGACATAAAACAATTGGTTAACCGAATGGAAGATGTTATGAGGAGCCGCGCTCCTCTTGCAACAAAGGGCAATGATAGCTTGATTGCCGAAATTTTACCGTTACGCACGATTCAAGCTATAAAAGATTTTGAGGCTTTACTATATGACACGGATGAAGCAGTTACACAATTTGTAAGTTTTACATTAATTTGTTAATTGTATAAAGTTTTAAGCAAACTAAATTTTAGGATTGTACATGCAAACTAGTTGCTTCAATTCTTTTATATAGTATATTTTATTATTTTTGTATTTTTATTTTATATCTAATGAGTTTAAAATACTGCCAAAAAAGTAATCATAATATTAATTTGATTATTTTACAAAGTAATTTAACATTAACCTGTATGTTACGCTGGCACAGATGTACACTGCAGAGTGAAGCGAGGGGGGGATTTAAGGCGGGAGGTGGCACGAACCAAGCATCCATCTCTTCCGTGGCAGCGGCAAAAAAATTTATTATATAAACTTCTAATTTATAAATGCCATCTCTGTTATTGACCCGCAACCGATAAATTTATTCAATTTATTATTATGTGTTTCAGTAAAATTTGTTTTGACAAACTCTTCCAATACTACAAAATATTTAATTTTATATATAATAAAGCTTTTAAAATAAAAGTCACTGAAAGACTTTTCAATTTAAAAATAGAAAAAATTTTTAATTTTATAAATAGAAAAAATATTTTGAATAAAAAAGAATTGTTTAATTTAAAAAAAAAACAAAAAAAATAAAAAGAATAAATTACTATATATCCTCCTATGATTATCTTCTAATTCTAATTAAAAAATAAATTTAAATAAAACGGTTTTTTATCAACAAATATATAGAAAATGTATTTAATATGGATAGAAATATCATCATTAACATGATCATAAAGATCATAATATCTATATAAATATATATTTAGTATACATAAGAGAACTTACTAACGCGACCGGATGAATTAATAGAGCGCGCGAAACGCGCATTGTGTTGTGCTAGTTATTGTTTAAAATTGACATTCATACAGATGAATAAAATTATTGGTAATATAAATCCCAAGTCTACTCTCTCAGGCAAGTCTATGAATTCTCTACACACACGAATAGAATTTATAAAGTTATTTATTCTAATTTTAAATATTTGCGGACAATTTTAAAAATATTCTAATATATTCTAATAGACGTATAGAATAATGAGCATGCTTTATTAAATAGCAATGTTATGTTTCAAAATATGTTTTATTTTCCATTATACATAGAATGTACTAACAGGAAAAAACCAGTACATAATTTGGAAAACTTATTATCTGTGAAGATTGAAAAAATGTTGTATCGTCACTTAGAATGTTTTTCCAATGATATACAGAGAAAAAATAAAAATAACACAATGATTTATAATCTATAATTGATTGATCAATTTATGATTTATCAACCACGTCAAATTTGTTCGATTCTCTGTTTAAATCCTAGTAAAAATTAAATCGTACATGTTTACATATTCGAATATTCACTTAACAAACATAAATATTATATACACGCATAAAATAAATATATCTACATACTATGTATTCCATAAAGTTATATTAGTCGTAAAAATCATAATCAAACGTCGTAATATATAAAGTGAGTTATATAAATCAAGAATGTAATATAAATGCACATTTCGATCTAAAACATATACAATAAGAAATTCAGACAAATTGAAATTTTAGATAACGTAAAGAGAAATCGTATATTTTTCGCTATTTATATTATGAGAAAAGAAAACCAAACCCGCTATTTATATTATGTGAAAAAGAAAAACAATTTTTTAAGTATAAAAATTCTTTTATATACTTAAAATTAAAATAAATAATTAGATGACATTTCTATAGCGAACATTACAGTTTTGTAATTTTGTCTACAGGTCAATGATTATCGTATAAAAATGAAGAGTATAAGAATACTGTCTCGAAGATTTATGAAACATATAAAACGGAGAAATATTCTTCACCATTTTATCATTATCCATATATTTAACATATTAGACAAAGTCAAAATTTATTATATTATATACGCAACTTATATATATATATATATGCATATATTAATTTAATTAAATAAAATTCTTATACAATATATAAATTTGGTTTGTAAAAACCAAACGTGATAAGAGTCATTTTTTCATTTAAAAAAAATCGTTGTCGTATAATTGAATCGCTTAGAACCCTCTATAAGTACGAAGGGCAAGAATCGTGCTGAAGAGATACAAACCGGCATTTACTAGACCGCAAATCTAAATAAAAATCAATAAATTATTTTCACACAATATATTACTTAATGAAAAAATACTTTATTATAGTGTTTTGAAAAGCTCTCGAGATAGGCTACAAGAATATGGAATAAAAAGTAGGCAGTTCTATTTAAAAAATTGAAGGTGACCTTTACCTGATCTTCAAGCAACTATTCAAGGTCAAATTAATGACACCACCTTATGTCCCCCTCGAAACCATACAATTTTTGTCTGAAACATTTTTTTCTAAAATGCATTGTTTACGAAATATTTGACCGTTTCTAACACCCTGTATATATACAGGGTGTCCTAGACTACCCGTACACCCCTTTTCTTTAAAAAATTAAGCATTTTAGAGAAAAACGTTTTAAACAAAAATTGTATGGTTTTGAGGGGAACATAAGATGGTGTCATTGGTTTGACCTTGGATGGCATCGTTAAGATCACGTGAAGGTCACCTTCAATTTTTTTGATGGAACTGCCTACTTTTTATTGCATATTCTTGTAGCTTATCTCGAGAGCTTTTCAAAACACTGTAATAAAGTATTTTTTCATTAACTATTTTTCGAGTTATTTTATATCTTAATCTGACATATTTTGATATAAAAAATAAAATATCTCGTAAAATATTTAGTTTTTGATAATCTTACCGTAATACTTTAATGTACAGTATAATGAGACAAATCAATTAGCGTAAAAAAAACAAATAATTGTTTAAAAAAATACATTGTAAATAATCACATACTTTTTCTTGAAAACAGTTATTTTTTTTACACTAATTGATTTGTCTCATTATTCTTTACATAAAAGTATTACGGTAAGATTATCAAAAACTAAATATTTTATGAGATATTTTATTTTTTATATCAAAATATGTCAGATTAAGAAGGTGACCTTCACGTGACCTTCGAATGACTATCCAAGATCAAATCGTTGCCATCATCTTATGTCCCCCTTGAAATCATACAACTTCTGTCTAAAACATTTTCTTCTAAAATTACGTGATAACGAGATATTTGACTGACAAAAATAAAATGGGACATCCTGTTTATACTATATACATATACTACTAAAAAAAAATAGGGAACACTTTTCATACCTTAAAAATTGGACTATTTTCAAACCGCTCTCGATGAAACCGAAACTCGATGAAAAACCATTGTAGACAAAAATTTAAAAAAGCATATTGAAACTTGAAGTTTCACTATAACGCCCTATCGGTGGTTTTAAAATTTTTTTTTATTTTCCGTGTTCTGTGCTTTAAAAAAGAATACATTGTTTTGTTCCTTAAAATTATGTATTTTTGACACCCTGCAGCTCGATAAAAAAATGTATACTAATTAACATACAAATAGCAATTTAGAGCCAGCGCTGGTTTCGAGGCGCATACTTTATATTAGTTATAAATTAGACATTTGTCATATTTTAAAAAATGAAACGAACGTTTCGGTCCCTCTTTTGGACCATCTTCAGCGTAATATAAATATCGAATTATCAATGTCGCAACAATAGTGAGTTCTATAAATATAAAATATAAATATAAATATGAATATAATTCATGGGATTGGTTTCATGAAGCCACGTTCTCTGGAAGATACCTTAATTTCTTTTCTCAGCATCCACTCTGCCAAAAAAGAGGCACGGTGATCGGGCTTATAGATAGGGTCTTTTTATTATCACACCCGTCTTTCCATTTCAAAAATATCGATTTCATCATAAAAATTTTACTCGACGACTCATATCCATTAACTGTTATATTTCAAATTTTTCATCAATGGCTTAAAACATTATTTAATAAATTTACAGTTTTTAATATGAATGAAGAAAATAGTGATAATAGGGAAGATAAAGAAAAAACGGTATCGTATTTTACGTTACTATACATTCCTTCGGTTTCCGAAAAATGTATTAACATCACCAAAGACCTCAATGTTAAATTGGCCTATTGCAGTCTTAATAAATTGCGGAAACACATTAAAGCTCACAAAGATAACATATTTAAATCCCAAGTCAATAATGTAGTATATAAAATTAATTGTAATGACTGTGACGCGCATCATATGTAGGACAGACTCGCAGACGTGTATCTACAAGAATTTCGGAACACCGAAATCTTATAAAAAGGAACACAGCAAATCAATCGATCATAACTGACCACAGACTAGAGTTTGATCACGAATTTAAGTGGGACGAAATTGAAATCCTTGATAGAGAACCATTTTTCCAAAAACGGTTAATTTCTGAGATGATGTATATCAAAAGACAAAAAAACAGTCTTAATTTGCAAACAGATACAGATCGCTTCTCTGACATTTATGCGACCGTTATCGAAAAATTACCAAAACTTTGAGGGTCAATCCTATTTTGAAATAAAGACACATTGCTTATTTGTTATATTCGGAACTGTCTTGAAAATCCGTCAGTCGCTCTTGTGTCCTCGTCGGATAATGTTCCCCCTTAGGGGAACACTCCGGACAAGTTGAAGTTTCAAAAAACACATGACTCAGTTTACATCTTATCTATTCTTAAGGTATTTAAATTAATTATTCCAATGTGATTTTTCTGTGATCGGCTCTCACTCAATTCCAGGAAGTTTAGATACCAACTCATATATACACTTATACAAACACTTCCTGGTTTGTCACCCGAGGAAGAAGTGCGTTTCGTTGAAGCATGAGTGCACACAGAAAAATATTATTCTATTGCTAAATAAAATGATTACTCAGTTTACTTTACTTCTTTTAATTAACAGTTATCTTTAACAAAGAATATTTTCTTAATAATAGTCTTAAAATAGACTTGTCACAAATTTTAGAAATACTCATTATCATGTACTCAAAAAAAGTAAATATTTTTTGTTGAAGAATATTATAAAATTTTATCGAAGAAAAGTCAGATATGGTTAATTTAATGTAAGAAAATTTATTAGATCAGAAAAATTTAATGTATTTCTTTCAATTATATAATTTAATATTCTTGATTGAAATATTAAATTTATTAGGATTCAGAATATATTTTGAATAAATTTGATGCTTATGATGAATTTATGATAGATTTGCGGATATATGAACTTTTTAAATACTTTAAACAAGTAATATTTACTTGTATATAGTATGTATTTTTCTGTGTCTGGAGTAAGATGTTCATCTTCCATTCGAATATAGACAGAGCACCGAAGGATAGATTTGCGGACCCACGTTATAAATTCCGCGTAAACTTGAGTATTTTTATCCGATTTTAATTTGTCTAACTTAATGTATTTTTGTGCGACATAATTATCGATAACACATTCGGCTCAAATAGCGGTTTTTATAATTTATATTCATATTCATATTTATATTTTATATTTATATAACTCACTACATAACTCGCAACAATTTGCGACATTGATAATTCGATATTTATATTACGCTGAAGATGGTCCAAAAGAGGGACCGAAACGTTCGTTTCGTTTTTTAAAATATGACAAATGTCTAATTTATAACTAATATAAAATATGCGCCTCGAAATCAGCGCTGGCTCTAAATTGCTATTTGTATGTTAATTAGTATTGATCTTGAGAGCCTATACTCATAGTTTTAAAAAATTTATCTTGAAAAATTCAACACAAGTTCCATAAACAATAACATTTTGTCTACAAAATGCTTTTTTAAAAATTTTCCTACGATTTTTTTTGACCGAGTTATACTATTTTGAAATTAAACCTGTATTTTTAGAAATAATGTTGATACTCGGCGAAAAATCATCGCAGACAAAAAATTGAAAAAGCATTTTGAAGCTTGAATTTTCAACTGTGACATGATATCGATAGTTAAAAAATTTTTTTTTCATTTTTTCATTTCTAGAAAATACGGGTTTAGTTTCAAAATTGTGTAACTTGGTCAAAAAAAATCGTAGGAAAATTAAAAAAAAGCATTTTGTAGGCAAAATATTGTAGTTTATGGAATTTAAATTGAATTTTCCGAGAGAAATTTTTTTTATCGAGTTGCAGAGTGTCAAAAATACATAATTTTAAGAAACAAAACAATGTGTTTTTTTTTAAAGCACAGAACAAGGAAGAAAAAAAAATTTTTTTACACCACCGATATGGCGTTAAAGTTGAAATTTCAAGCTTCAGATAGCTTATTTAATTTTATGTCTACGATGATTTTTCGTCGAGTTTCAGTGGTTTGAAAATAGCCCAATTTTTAGGATATGAAAAGTGTTCCCTATTTTTTTTTTTAAGTAGTGTATATATAGAGTGTCTCGGAATTGGTGGTACAAGCGGGAAGGAGATGATTCTATATGAAAAAATAAGTAAAAAATGTAGAATAAAATTTTTTTATACGAGGCTTTGTTTTTGAGAAAAACGACTTAATTAAGAATTTTGTTTTTTATGAATATAATATTGTACTTACAGATGCACCTAACAACAATTCGTAGTTATAACGCCTATAATTATTGACGTGCACCAATAGCGTCAATGAGGCCGCAAGTAATAATCCAAATGCAATGGAATGATAAAGGAGTTCCTGAAAGTTTAAAATCTTTGATGTCAATAAACATAATGTTGCATAATAAATTTTAATTGAAACGACTGTTTTCTTAAATTTCATATTTTTGATGTCATTTAAACAAATTTTAATGCAATTTTTCTCATTAACAATTGTTTCTCATCTATTGAGCAATATACAAATAATCTATAAATTGAACAAGTTATATGTAACAGGTAATTTATATAAACGCGTGTATGTGTATGGGATATATATCATACAAGGTATATCATAAATTGTGGTACAAGCAAAATGGAGATAATTCTTCATGTAAATATAATACAAGTCGAACATATTGAATGACATTTTTTCATATACATATATATATGTATGTGTTTAAAAGTACTTACATAGATCGTTTTTGATATGATAGATGCAGTAGAAAGAGATATCAAACAACTGAGAAGAAGTATGGAAGTGTTAATCATAAAAGTAATCGTTATGACAAGAAAGAAGCACTCTGGCGTAGTCCGAGGAGGATAAGTATTAAATTCGTTACCAATAATCCCTACGCAAACTATGCCCAGCGCCTGTTGGTAAAAAATGGAAATATCAATTATATATATGCATATATATACAGGGTAGGCCATTTTAATGTATCCACTGAAATATCTTAAAATCTATAAATTTAAGAATGGGTTTCCGTTTAAAAAATTCGTTCTCACTTCCACTTGACCTTGGAGACGCCGCCCAAGGTTATATGAATAATACTATGTTATGTTTCCTCCTAAACCATACAATTTTTGTACGAAACATTTTTTTCTAAAATGCATTGTTTACGAGATATTCCACCTGTTACGTTTGAAATTTAACACCCTGTATATATATATATATATACACACACCTCTAATACGACTAACAAAATATATTAATATAAATATAACGAAATATTTTAGAATTCACATTATTATCATCACAATAGAAATCACATATTGATACCATTATCATAAGTAAATATGTGCGAATATAGCCGAAAGCGATATTGCAGCGCGCGCGCGCGATAATGCGAATACCATTTAAAGATTACAAGATTACCTGAATATCTTTTGTAAATTATATACATTTAACTAACAGTAATATTGATTTTTTTATTTAAATGACAAATATTCATCTTAATTAAATATCTGCGCGGTAAAAATGGTTAAACTCTGAAATTATTTGTGTTCAGAATTATATTATACTGTTGTAGTATTGTTGGAAAAAATTAATTATTACTAATTAATTAAAGCAAATATTTTATATCAAAATGTATGTAATAGATACTTTACTTGATAAAGATATCATAATGAAAATAATAATCGAAGTGAATAAATGAATGTAATAGTAAGGGCGCATACCAATTGTAGGAATTTTAAAATACCACTCCAACTTTTTAAATAGCCAGTGTTGATGACAATCGTTGACGAACTAGCCGTCACTGTTTGTGTTCTAATTGTCACGGAATGAGACATTGTTGCCTTATTTTTTCAGTTCTGAAAAAATCAAAGATAATTTTTCTATATATTGTATTATACATTTATCGTAATTTATCGAGATTTTATTCAGCACGCGCGCGTGCGCACACGCATACACGCACGCACGCACACACTTTTTCTCTCTTTCTCTTTCTCTCTCTTTCTTTATCCCCCCTCCTTCCCAAATTCTGCATTTATATTTTGAAAGTTTTATACAGGGCGCCCGTGCCATTTTTTAAGAAAACTACGCATTTTCGAGAAAATTGTTTCATACCAAAGTTGTAAGGTTTCAAGTAACGCGTTACGAAGCAATATTAGTATGACCTTGAAGAGTATTGTTAAGATCATATAAAGATTACATTAAAATTTTTTAATGAAAACCCCAATTTTTTATTGCATATTCTTATAGTTTATCTCAAGAGCTTTTCAAAACACTATAATAAAGTATTTTTTCATTAAGTATTTCTCGAGTTATTTTATATTTTAGTCTGACATATTTTGATATAAAAAATAAAATATCTCGTCAAATATTTAGTTTTCGATAATCTTACTGTAATACTTTTGGTAAATATAGCGAAAAGGCGACTCAGCCCCAATGACCTTGACCTTGACATATGTTGTCAAGGTCATCGCCCTGAGTAACTCTCAGAAGGTTTTAACCGTCGCTCGTTGTTTACAAAAAAGTTATTAACAAACAAAAATTTGTAAAAATCAAGATTTATACATAATCTGACAATGAAAAACTGGATATTTAAGTTACACACACACACATACACGGGGGAAGGGGGGGTGCAAGGGAGGCCTTCGGCCCTCCTCCCGCACCCTCCCCGCCGGTAGGCAGGATGGACCTCGCTTTACAATGTAGCATGTACTTTGTAAGTTGTAAAGCGAGGTCCACCCTGCCTACCGACCGGTTGGATGCGGGAGGAGGACCGAAGGCCCTCCTTGCAACCCCCCGTGTGTGTGTGTGTGTGTGTGTGTGCGTGCGTGCGCGCGCGTGCTTCCTGTCCACGCATGTACTTTGGTATATTTCAAACTTTTTTTGTTAATAACTTTTTAATAAGCAACGAGCGACGATTAAATTAGAAGAAAAAGTTACTCAGAATTATGTCCTTGACAACATATGTCAAAGTCAAGGTCATTGGGGCTTGGTCCCCTTTTCGCTATATTTACCATACTTTTATGTACAGAATAATAAGACAAAACAATTAGTGTAAAAAAAATAAATAATTGTTATAAAATATATATTGTAAATAATTACATACTTTTTCTTGAAAATAATTATTTTTTTGAAAATGCGTAGGTTTCCTAAAAAATGCCTGGTACGGGTGCTCTGATATACCCTGTATATCGCCTTTTCTGATGAACCATAAGAAATCTAATGTGTGTAAAAGATAAATAAATATCATAGATAATATGAATAATATTATTAAAAATAAATAGATAATATTTTTTGAAAGAATTCCAATCTCTCAATAAGTAGTTATTAAGAGAGAGATTGGAATTTTTTCAAAAATATTATTATTGTATAAGCATTTATAGTTTATGCAATATTTAATTGTGTTTTTTTTCAAATCCACAAATATCACAAATAAACAGCAATCAAACACAACAGCATTCTATTATAAAATATCCTCCAATGGCTTTGGAACATCTTGACACACCCTGTAAGTTCGTCCGACGATCGATAGTGCGTAGAGACCTTTGAATTTACTTTCTCTTATTGGAAAAGTGATGAGACTAACTAGAGAAGATATTTTAATTCTGTACTTTTTTGTCAATTTCTTTTTATTAAATTTTATCAATGTAACATTTTATCCTTATTTTATTGAGTTGGTTAAGGGGGCATACCCGTTTGAAATCTCGAAAAATGAGTACATTTTCTAGATTTTTTTGCAGCACGACTTGATAAAAATTTTTAATTTTTTTACGGTATTAATACAATATTACTAACTATTTAAATAAAAATTTTTTGCTTAAAAAAAATTTTTTTTTTAAAGTTATGGGAATATTTGCGGAGCTCCTCCAAATTTTAAGTGGCTGCACGATATGCATGAAAACATTCGTAGATCATATCTAAAATAAAAAATCCAAGTTTTTTCTTATTAAACATTGTAATAGTTATCTGCTATCCAAGCGTTCCTTCAAAATTTCAAAAAATAAAAGAATGGCAGCGCGTTGAAAAAAAATTCGGTTTTTTTGAAGGAAAGTACATCTTTTTTTTTATAACAAAAAAATAGGGCATTGGATTAAAAAAAGGCTTGGCAGATTCGGAATCTTATAAGAAACTCGCATGTAAAATTTGAAGTTAATCCATCGAACGTAGCCCAAAATTTCATGCACATCATGCATGAAAACATAAATCTGCAAATATTCGCATAACTTTCAAAAAAAAAAACTTTAGGTTGAAAATTTTTATATAAGTAGTTAATAATATTGTATTAATATTGTAAAAAAATTAAAAATTTTCAACAAGTCATTGCGCTGCAAAAAAATCTAAAAATATATACTCATTTTTCGAGGTTTCAAACGGGTATGCCCCCTTAAATATAGGATAAAATCAGCATTAATGATCTTATGAGTTGTATTAAATTTTCTATGCATAACTATATTGATGTTATATCTAAAAATTTCTTAATTGGAATAAAAAATTAATTAAATATGATTTTATGACTATATTATAATTATTGTAAAAAAGATTTTAGTCAATATGTTCGTGTGTGTGTGTGATATTAGTACTTGCTGTGATCAAAAAATTAAAATATTGATGTGTTCGCGATAAGAACTATACCAGACACAAAACACTTTGCACATTGTTTCTATCAACTACATGTGCATCTTGAAAAAAAAATTTACAAATTTCATAAAAATAAAACAGAGGTAGAAAGATAAATATATACAACATACATATAAAAGATAGTAATTACGCTATTGAAAAATATTAAAATCAATGATAATCAACGAAAGTTTGGCATTGCGAAAATATAACGAAACATCGACAGAGAAAACGGCGCTACGAGTGAATAAGCGTCACTGTATAGTCACAGGTTATTTTTAAATATCCAAAACACGAGAGAATTACGTATAAGGTGCGAGTAAAAAATTTATTAAAACGATTTCGATTAAGATTGAATCGTATCTACCACCTAACTCCTCGTTTAATGTTCACTCGCCCACACAAAGATTACACAAATTATCTTCTATACAATCGCCGTAGATAGTATTTTATCATAACGCATGCGCACAATATTTTTTGCTCACATATAACCTTTCATTTTATTATTGTATATTTATACTTTTACACTTTTACCTTATTACATTATATAAATTATCACCTCTCCTATGTTTCTCAAAATATTTAATTTGTTATACTGAAATTAAGTTTAAACTAGAATTTTTGCTTTTTTTATTATATATAATATAATTTTGCAGAATTGGGGGAGGAATATTGAATAAGGTAAAAATGATAGAGTATGCACGCGGCAATATCTAATATATTAGATATATCATATATTAATTATAATCTCAATAAATCTGATTACTATGATTTGTTTCTTCACAATCAGAAGTTATAAAAAGAAATTATTATAGTGACCGACAATAATAAGCTTTTTGAATTTCTTTGACAATTAAAGATCATTTAAAAATATTATTATGATATTAATGCTGCAATATATTTGCAGGAGCATTTGCATAGCGCAATTATCGGTTAAAAATTATAATTTTCAAATAGTAGTTGTAATATTATTTTTAATATAAGAAATGATATATTACGAAAAATTATTATAAAAAATAAGATTCTCTCTCTCTTTCTCTCTCTCTCTCTCTCTCTCTCTCTCTCTCTCTCTCTCTCCCTCTCTCAAAATAAGCAGGTAACCAAAATGCATGTTTATACATATATGAGATTATTATAAATGACATAAAAAGTGATACACACCATATCAAATAACACAATGCACTAACCTGAAGAAGATACGTTGTCATACACTGGCCGTCAGCGATTGACTGAAGCGCTGCTTCACCAAGGATGACGTCACCGGTGATATCATACATCCACACACATTTTTAGAAGATACGTATGTATTTATGTATTATAATCAATGTAAATATGTTGTAGTTTTCATTCGTGCAATGCAAATAAACATATATTAAAGATCGTATTTTCAATGAAAAGTAATATAATGAAATAAGAAATGTGAAAATATGGAATAAACTTATTAAATATTACTTTCACAACAGTAACAATATAATATATTAATGAAGTAGGAAAACTGGCAAATATAAGAGCCAAAACGTGGGTATTGGTGCGCGAACTTATTATTGTTAAATTTTTGTAATAAATGTGTATTTATTTAAAATGGTTGGTCATATTTACATCATTACTATACAGGGTGTCCGGTAAAGATTATGCCAACGCTCGTGAGCGGGTAGAGCACAGTAAACTGAACAGAGAAGTCCTGTAACATTTTTTTTCTATAACGCTTAATAAAGGAGTTATTATTGAGTAAAGTTTGGTCAATCAGCGCCAATTTTTAGCCGGACGCACGTCGGTGAACCGCCCGCCTGGTAGTATGCGCCGCCGTAGCGACGGAGCGCTCACGCACACTACCAGGCGCGTGGCTAAAGGTCGGCGCTGATTGGCAGACTTTACTCAATAATAACTCCTTTATTAAGCTTTATAGAAAAAAATGTTACAGAACTGTTCTGTTCAGTTTACTGTGTTCTATCCGCTCACGAGCGTTAGCACAATCTTTACCGGACACCCTGTATTGTAAACCACTGATGGATATACATGTGACGATAGCGTTTAAACGTTGTCCACTATTTTGTACAGACTCTACGCGAGCTCTAATAAGTCTTCCTCTTTCTGATTATTCCAATTCAAAATTTAACTACAAAAACAAATGTTGTGTATGTCAAGTTTAAAATTCCAATATAATCTATATATTTTTATCCATGCTGAAGATGGACCAAAAAAGGTCCGAAACGTACATTTTTTAAATACACATTATTACAAAAATTTAACAATGATAAGTTTGCGCACCAAAATACCTGCGCCTTGGTTCTTATTTGCCAATTTTCCCATTTAATTGTTAGTATTTTGAGCTTATTGCTGTTATTATAATATATTAATTTATATTTCTTGTATGTGTATACTTATATGATTTTTTAGATGTTTTTTATAAGCATGTGTGTATACAACACAATATGGAAACAATTTTAAAAAATTAAACATGCAATAATAAGAATAAAATGTTTAAAAAATGTTTGATGTATTAATGTGATAATGATAATAAAACACATTCAAATGTAATAATGTTCTTGTACTTTATTTAGAGTTTATAACTAAAAAATAAATAAAATTTTAAAATTTTAAAAACGTCCAAAAAGAATCGCACACATATATATCAATAATATATATATAGGGGCAAGTGGGGTAAAACCGGGTACTTTTTTGGATTTATTTTTCTATAAAAAACCAGAGAATAAAAAAATATTTGCTGAGCATTAGTAGTTTTTAGTAGACCTTAAACCATGAGAAAATGAGGCTAGTTGTTGAAAAAAAATATTTGGTTACCAAGGATAACAAGATTTTTTGGAGAAGTCAAAATACCCGATTTTGCCCTATCGGTGGGGTAAAACCGGGTACCAATTTGAAAACATGTAAAACACCCTGCAATTACAAAATCTAGATTTATTTTAATCAGAATACGATATAAAGATGTATTCTATTGACAAAAATCACAAATAAAGATATCCTCTTGTTCAACATTGCTGCAGGACTTTCTTATTTAATTTTTTAACTTTAGGGGTCTCAAAAAGCTTTTTTTTTTTTGGTGGTTTCTTTTTCTGTGTGATAATTTTTGTTTCCAACTGCTTTTTGTAGGGAGACAAAGTCAGGATAACAGTTTTTCCTCTTTTCATTATGAAATGTGTAAGTTCCCGGTTTTGCCCCAATACAAGGAAAGTAACAAACACGGCGGTTGTATATTCCGGCGTACAAAGTGACGATCAAAACTAATGTAGATATACTCTCTAATATGTACAGAATGTGCAATGTTGTATTTATCAAAGCAGACGCTCTATCTAGAAAAAATCCATAACGACTTAATTGTTGTCCCGATATCGATCTTTCTTAGCCAGAAAATTTTGAACTTCTCCCAAAAAAGAAATATCGTGTGTACGTGGACACAGTTCATCTCAAAATAATGTTGGCATCAATCTACAAATAACACGAGTTAGCCACGCATCATGATTGACTTACTGACTTCTACATGTCGCATGCGATATTTACCTCAGTGTTTATAAACCGCGTTCCAAATGTCCTCATTCAATTTCCTTACATACTTCATAACAGAAAATTTCACCGCCAATCAGTCAGTTATCATCAACCGACGATTGCGGATCTTTGCGATTTGATGATTACACAGTGATTATACTTTTTTATGGAGATATTTGAAAAGCATGGTGTATTCTTCGCCAATAAATGACTTAAAAGAATTACGTGACCGAATCCAGCGTACTTGTCAAATAATTCGACAGAGACCTGGAAGTTTCGAGAGAATTCGCGATTCTGTAAGAAGAAGATGCCAAACGTGTATGGAAATGGAAAGAACACTTTTTGTAAATATCGAGATAAAGATTTAGATAGATTATCTTCTTTTCACGTTGCATGCGACACTTATAGAAACCAGTAAGTCAATCATGATCCTAACATATAAAAATGTTTATATCTCAGAAACGGTTGAGCTTTCGACCTACGTTTACTAAGGTTTTTTTACTCAGTACTCAATATGGTGTGTTCTATTTACCATATAAATATTGAATGGTTTTTCTAAGCACCCTGTATACAGGGTGTCCTAAAACTACGTATCTCCTCTTAATAGCAGATTTCTTAGAACATTTCAAGACAAAAATGTCGAGGCTATAATAGTTTTTAAATGGGAAGCGATTATATTTTACGAATGGGGGCTGAGATTTTGCGCGCTCAGGCACGGCTAAATGTCAATGAAAAAAGTGCTTCTATGAATGGAGCGCCTTTTTTATGATATTATGATTATTGTATAAATTTACAATAGCATTGTCATTATACGTTTTCCCGCTTCTCTACGCATTGCATTAGTACATTCTTTTTATGAATAATGGATGCAAGAACTAATCTTAAAAATGATTCAAGTAAAAATTTGCGACATGTTGCAACTTCAGCTGTCAAAGTGGTCGATCAATGTTACCATGAAGGTCTATTATTTCGCCGGGTCTGGGCGCGCTAAATCTCAGCCCTGTCATTCGTAAAATATAATCGCTTCCCGTTTAAAAACTATTATAGCCTTGACATTTTTGTATTAGGATTTTCGTCTTGAAATGTTCTAAGGAATCTGCCATTAAGAAGAAATACGGTAGTTTTAGGACATCTTGTATAATATACACTGCATATGTGTATGGAAATCGATTATGATACTTGTATTGCTATTTTGTAACTTATAACGACGATATCGCTGTCATTATGTGTCGCATGTATTTTGACATATTAAAAATGCATGCGCAACAATACGTAACGATAGCGATATTGTCTTTAAAAATTACAGAATCGTAATACTGAAAAATAATGCTATACAATAAACAAGTAACAACAATATTTAAATACACAATTTCTCGAAAATAAAAAATACATATATCAATGTAATTTTACCTTAATTCGAGGAACAATGAATGAACAGAAGAGATAAATGAGTGAATGCATCATCTCAACGCTTATGGTAAGAGAAAAAGAATAGCATAGTCTTAAACGTAATGTCCACTTTAGTTAGTCAGCGCTATAATGAATTACGCGACATGATTCGGAATTATCTTGCAGATTCTCTTGAAAGATACGTAAAGACACTTAACATACATATATATATATATATATATATATATATATATATATATATATATATTCTGCCTTCACATAAAATATAAACAAAAAATTATAGAGCGATGTATGTATATGCATAATTCCATAACTGATTCTGTCGAAACAAGTTATAAGAATCTAGTGAATTGAAAAAAATATTTTTTAATATCGGAAGGAAGGAAACAATTTTTTTAAATATTTATTTCTTGAATAAACTTAGAAATTGAGTTTTTGTAAAAAAATTTGTTTTTTTTTGAGATAAAAAAAATAGAAAAATTCGGAAAAGGCCACTAGGTATGAACCAAAAATGACAAATGTAAAGATTAAAAGATGCTGATAAAAAATTTTTTATTTTAAGTAATTTAAAAATTTTTTATTTTAGGTAATTTATGGAGGCTGAATCTTGAGCATACCGTGCAAGCGTGCATCACTACTTATGCTAAAGAGAACACTATTATTGTTTTTCTATTTCGATATTTTTTGAAATTTTTCATCTTAATTTTTTTATTAAAAACATTTTTTTAACAAAAACATTATTTGTTTATTTGTTTAAATAAAAGTTTTGGATAATGTTAAAAAATATCTTATTTTTCGATTCGCTAGACTCTTATAATGTATTTAAAATTTATGATTTACATGCAAATAGGAAAGAAAAAAAGTTTTACTGCAAAGATAAAAAAAAGTTATACTGCATCCAATTTAAAGAAAATATATAATATTATGTGTGTATCTCATCTACATACATATTATGTATAAAAAAATACATGTATATATAAATAAAATCTCTCGCAATATACTGCACAAAAGTAAGAAAAAATTACGTTTTAGAAAATAATGTTAGAAATTTCACGCACGTATATCAGATGCACGAGAAGTTGATGCATTGAAATCATCAGATGTTTATAAATTGGAACTTCTAAAAATTGCCAGCAAATATAGCCATCCAATATGAACACCTCTTAATCGCCCAAATAGTTTCAGATTAAAAAATTAAGCATCAAGTCTTTAATAATTTATATTGAATGAAAAAAACTGATATCCCTCTAAGAACTTATCGTACATTGATACAATGCCTCTTAAAACTAATGATTTTATCATTCTCCAAAAGATTATACAATCAAAGTACAACGAAATGATGCCTCACAAATAATTTAACAAAAATTTTGCTTAAGAAATGTTTAACAAAAATTGAATTTGCCTGTAACATTAGGTACTACAAATTCTACTTATACAGGGTGTTTCATAAATAGTAGGCAAAACTTCATTCTCGTCACATCGTCTTATGCCCGTATCAGACTATGCATTGAAAATTGAAGATCGAAGATTAAAAATTGGAATTTGACTAATCAGAACAAAAGGGACTACAATTTCTTTGTCCTGATTGGTCAAATTTCAATCTTCAATCTTCAATCTTCAATCTCAATCTTCAATGCGTAGTCTGATACGGACTTTAGAGGAAATGTTCCATATGTCCACCTCTTGTCTGAATACAAGCTTCAGCTCATTGTCTCATTGAGCCCCGAACACGCTCCCAAATTCCTGGCGTGGCGCGTATTGTCTGAAAAGCTACCACAGTGGATGATGTAGAAACTCTCCGCGACCGAATTGTGACAGCTTTTCAAACGATACGCACCATGCCAGGAATTTGGGAGCGTATTCGGGGTTCGATGAGACGACGAGCTGAGGCTTGTATTGAGAGACGAGGTAGACATATTGAACATTTCCTCTAAAACGATGTTTGTGTCGAACGAGAATTGTGTCACAAAAACTTTAATAACTCAGAAACTAATCATTCCCGAATCTATGTTGATATAACTTTTTTTTCTTCTCTAAGCATTAGGAATCTATTACTGAAGTTTTGCCCATCATTTATGAAACACTCTGTATAATAAAATAATAATTAAAAATTCCTTAATTACAAATTTCAAGAAAATATTAATAATGACGACAGTAGCGTTTGTATGAAAAATTGGATGATGGATATTATCCGTCACAAAATATAATTATCTGTAACACACCACATTGTGTATTTTATCTAAAGATGTATATTTATTTTTTCATTAATAAACAAGATAAATATATAATATTCAACTAACCCTCCATATCATATAGAAATATTGAAATTTTTATATAAAAAAACATTTTTCTTCGACATTTTTTTTATTCTAAATAAAATGATCTAAAAAAAGATATATGTCACTTTTTTTATTTATATAAGTTTAGATAAAATTACAGATGCGCATGTTCAATGGTCTCGTACAAAATTTTGTGAGTGCAATATAATAGTCTTCGGATATGTAGGTTGCGTTTCGGTATTCATTGCCAGTACTGAAAATCTATAGTTTACGTCACGTACACTATAGATTTTCGGTACTGGCAGTGAATATCGGAACGCAACCATAATATTTTGAATGTAGCACACTTTATTCGTTTCTGCGACTTCATCGATCCTTCTCAACGGCAGCAGGTTCTGTTCTAACAACGACAGTTACTACAAGTAACTAATTTTAAGGCACATTAGTAAAGTCTTTCTGTAAGCTACACACGATCTGAGAAGGATCACGCTGGACTAGTTTTAAGCCGCTCCTTTCAGCGCTGACATTTCTGTTGAGCACGATCTTAATATGCCAAAATCTTTATAGACGGACGAGAATTCACGATCCTAGTGTCATGGCAATTATTGATGTTATATGCTCTTGAAGTACCTAGCTTCTCTGTAGGCCGATGATGTTCATTGTACATTAGTGTTCTTCCATTCGATGTATAGGAAATAAGCCCCGGCGGCGTATGCAATGGTATTAAAAATTCCAAATATCTATAAATAATGTTGAATATATATATTTTAAAAACAGTAAAAATTAATCTATTTAACTATTAATATTTTAATAGTGGGCCTCACTCCAGCAGCGATGTTCGATGATACGTTGGATGAAGTTCTATAAGCTGTCCAAGCTGACAGCTGGGCGATGAATGCAATCATGTAAAACACGGCTTTTATAGATGTATTTAGAAGTTCCTAAAAAAAATATAATTATTTTATTTTGTCGAATTAAACATACATGCCTTATCACATTCCTTAAAATCAATTTTATCAATAGGTATTTATATATTAATAAAAAATATAAGTAGAAAAAATAACGGTAATTATTTACATTAACGGACACCTCGCCAATGATCTTGACCTTGACATATGTTGTCAAGGATATGACCCTGAGTAACTTTTTCTTATAACTTAATCGGCGGTCTCTTATAATTTCTGAGATATTTAAAATTAAAGTTTGATTCGAAACGATAATTTGGTTTGGGTTATACAACGTAACTCACACCAAATTTGGTAATTATTTACATTAAAAATTTGGTTTGGATTAGGTTATATCTTCGGGAAGTGGAACCCCCCGTAGGGGGGGGGG